ACGGAGTTGATCATTCCTTTCTTCTATAAATAATTTATTCATTTATCTTTCTCTCCTAATTCTCTTCTTACATCACTGGCTTATTCTAGTATCATGTGCTGTTTTTTTGTTTGTTTGTTTTTCATCTTATTAACCTATAAATATTGGAGTGCTGTAGGACTCAGTGAGACTTCTTTATCCAAAATCACTCCCTAGGTGATCCCATCTACTCTTAAGGTCTTAGATATACAGTAGTCCCCTTCTCTGCAGGAGATATGTTCCAGGACCCCCAGTGGATGCCTGAAACCATGGATACCACCAAACCCTATGTACACCATGTTTTTTCCTATGCAGTAACAGTTGGGTAGTGTATATAGCATGAATACACTGGACAATGGGATGATTCATGTCCTTAGCAGGCCAGAGCTGGATCGCTCGATATTTCTTCACACACTCAAAGTGGTGCTACAATTTAAAGCTATGGATTGTTAACTTATAAAATTTTCCACTTAATATTTTTGGACCATAGTTGACCATGAGTAACTGAAACCATGGAAAGTAAAACTGGGGTTTAGGGAGGGCTATTGTATTTGTATGATTCCTACAGTTATATCTCCAGCCTTAACTTCTTTTCTGATTCCAAACTTGTTTATCCAACTGTGTACTCCTTTTGGATACTGATTAGGTATCTAAAACTTAACATGTCCAAATTAAAAATCCTAATGTCCACCAATTTTCTTCTCCATATTTCAGATAATGTCTACTCTATCCTTCCAGTTGCTTAGTCAAAAAAGCCTTGGAGACATTCTTGACTTCACTCTCTCTTTTACATCTTATGTTGAATGCATCAAGAAATCCTGTTAGCTCTACCTTCAAAATATCCAGAATTTGGATCACTTCTAAATACTACTACATCTACCTATCTTGTTCAATTCATCTTATTTTTCATCTGGGCTATTTCAGTTGCTTCCTAATTGGTCTTTTTGGTTTTACCCTTGATCTTAAGATCTGTCCTTAATCTTTTTTTAAAATTGTTTTCTTTTAGACTCAGAAGGCCCAAAGATACTCCAGGGGTGAGCCCAGTGCCAGGCTTTGTGCTTGGGGAGAAGGGTCACAGGAAGAAGTGAGCCCCTTAATGGAAGGAACTTAGCCCTTAACCCAGCAGCAATAGGGTGTGTGGAGGATACCAGAGGGGGAGCCTGGGAATGAGATGGGCTGAGTCCCCACACTGAGGGAACAGGGAGGTCTCTCTCAGCCCCTGAGGTAGGCCTGGGGTCCCTGGGGGCCTTGGGGGTTCCCAAGGCACTTGTGGTTCTGAAATGTCCAGTGATGCCCAAGGTTGACTGTGGACCAAGGATTTACAGGGTCAAGGATTTGGTGTGGGGTTGGAGTTGGGGGGTGGGGGGCAGTATCAAGTACTTATGTTTCAGAGGCTTGGGGCCAAGGGCATCTTGTCTTAGGATCTCAGCCCTTATGGCTCCCAGTCAGTATGATAATCTAAAATAATGTTATTTCTGTGCTCAGAATTATCCTTTGCCTTCCCATTTTAATTCAGATCCAAAGGGCATAGAAGACCATATATTATTACTACTTTATTTTATTTATTTATTTTGAGACAGGGTCTTGCTCAGTCACCCTGCCTAGAGTGCAGTGGCGTGATCATAGCTCACTGCAGCCTCCAACTCTTGGGCTCAAGTAATCCTTCTGCCTTAGCCTCCTGAGTAGCTGAGACTGAAGACCATATATTATTTGATCCTCAATGACCTCTCCGTCATTATCTACCATTCCCTTTGCTATAATATACTCATTTACTGTTCTTTGAATATACCAACTATGTTCTTGCCTTATTTTCTTTGCACTTGCTTCTAATCCCACAGGTTGGAAAACTCTTCCCTGAGATCTACATGACTCTATCTTCCTTCTTTTAAATCTCTCCTCAGATATTACTTTTAAGGAGAGTTGTTTGTTAACTAGCCTATGAAAAATAGTAACAGCCTTCATTTCACTCCCAAATTCTCCAAGACTGGGCATCCCTTTCTTCATTACCCTAATTTATTGTCCTTATTATACTATTTGACATACTGTGTTTTTACTAATGTGCTATTTATTTTCAGTATCTCTGTACTAAAATGTTAATTCCATGAAGGCAGCCACTTGGTTTATTTTGTTCCATGCAGTATTCCTAGTCCAGTGCCTATCATATAATATGTGCTTCTTTCAATCTGAGGACTTTATTTAATTCTAAAACATTCTCAGCAATTACCTCTTAAAATATGGCTTTATTTTTCATCCCACATTACTGCTTCTGGAACATTTTAGGCATGTGTTAAGAGTTTCTCAGTGAAGCATACGTGCTTCAACTGTGTTTTCATGTTTTTAATTTTATTTTTCTATGCAGTATTCTAGATGAATCCCTCATTACTGTCATTCATTTCATTAATTCTCTTTTTGTGTCTAGTTTTGAGCTTAGATCATTTAATTGTTTTTTGCTTCGGTGATTATAATTTTTATTTTCAAGAGTTTTAATTGATTTTTCATATCCACCTGTTATTTTATTTCTAGTTTTTGTTTTTAATATTAGTTATTCTTTTGTGTATTTAAGGACCCTTAACTTATTTTAACACTTTTCTCAGTGTGTTCTGTTATTTTCGTTTTAACTAGAGGATTGCAGCTTTTGACTTGAACTAGTGTGTCAGTGTATGTAGGCTCATGTGTTTTGGAATATTTTATTTATAGTCCCATCTTGAGAGGGAAAGTTGCTGTTATTGTTTTCTTCCACCTCTTTCCCCACTACCCCTGTTGTCCTTATCTAATGCTTATTTCTTTGAACAGATTTTTATGGTTGCCTCTAAATTGTTAACCTCACTCCTATTCCCCTTCCTGAAATAGGTTTTATATTTGGTTGTTTGGGACTCTTAGGCAGCAGTAACATATGGGATTTACTGTATTTAGCCTCAGCCTGCTGAATGTTTTGACTCAGCTCCTGTGCTATGTGTATAAACCTTTGCCATATAAGCCTTTGTTTTAGGCAAGTGTGGGAAGCAGCCTTTTTCAGCTTCCACTCATGAGTTAGCATCCCCACTTCATTCTTTGTTTGCAAAGCAAACAATGATTTTGGCTATGCTTCTACATATTGTGCAAGGCACTTTTATTCTCTGTTATTACCAGAAGTTGAATTCCTTTTCACCTCGTCCTGCATCTAGATCTGGAGGACAGCAAACAGCAGCTTCATCCACATTCATCTTTGTGTATTTCTGTTTAGTTTATGATCCTCAGGGACGTAGTTGTGTCTATTTAATTTTTATATGTTTTCTCTGTTAATACATTTAGAGAAGAGAGGAAGCCTCAAGTGTGAACTTATTATGCTAACTTCTTGAAAGTTTAATGTAAATTTTTTTATGAACTATTCTACCTTCAACTTTTTCTCTTATAACCAGTGGTATGTTTTTCTGATTAGTGTCCCTTCTTACATCCATTTGTGCCTTCTAAAGCCCTTTGCTGAATTTTACTTTCTCAAGTACGGATTCTTCCCTTATTTCTTACCTGTACATTCTGTGATTCTTGAGTGATTTAGGTACATACTTCTATTTGCTTTACCTATTTTAAAGTTTTTTAAAAAAATAAATAAATATCTAATAAATTCCTCCTCATTTATGATGTAAATTGATCAGTAATAGCCTGACTATACAGTATCTTAAGACCTTTGTTTTGATTTCCTTTCCCCTCCTTTTTCTTTTTAAAGCTGTATTTGTTTATTTTTAGAAGATAGTTATTATTTCCAAATAGTATAATTTTCTGTTTCCCAGAGAAATATGCTTTGATTATTCAACTACCATTTAGTATAGTTAGTAGTATTCTCAGAGATTAGAAATGTATAGGAAGGTGTCAGAAATCCAAAGATTGTAGTATTATGGGATGTTGATTATTAGTAAATAAATCTCTGGCTCACTCTCTTTTGAGACTCTTACTTAAAAATGGTAATATTTTATCCTTAATATAATTGTGTATATACAATGTTTAAGTTAACTAGAATGTATTTCCTAATTTTTAATTATTTTCAAATAGTTATTTATTGCAATCAAGGTTAAACCATGTTTTATGTGTTAATTTTATTTATTTTTATTTTTTGTTTATTTATTTTATTTCAGCATAATATGGGATACAAATGTTAAGGTTACATACATTGCTCTTGCCTTCCCTCCCCCTTCAAGTCAGAGCTTCAAGTGTGTCCATCCCCCAGACAATGTATATCGCACTTATAATGTATATATATACCCATCCCCACCTCCCCCCTCTCACCTGCCTGACATTCGATAAATGTTTTTTTGTTTAACATTTTGGTTAGATTTTATAACTTTCCCTTTCCCTAGCAAGGGTTAGAGGTATGCCCTTCCCCTCCACACTATTCACCACATCCCTCAGATGTGGGTCTACCCTCCTAACCCCCGAATCTCTGATGAACACCACTACCCTTTGAGCACCATATTGATAATCGGTCAGTACCAATTTGATGGCGAATACATGTGTAGCCCATTTTTCTGATCTTGTGTCACTTCACTTTGGATAATGGGCTTAAGCTCAATGCAAGATAACATAAGTGGTGCTAGCTCACTGTTGTTACTTCTGAGACATTCTATTATAAAGACATCTGCACCTGAAGGTTTATGGCAGCACAGTTCACTATTGCAAGGACACGGAAACAACCCAAGTGCCCGTCAATCCATGACTGAATTATTAAAATTTGGTATATGTTTACAATGTTTTATGTGGTTTTTAAAATTATATATCTAAATCTGGAAACTAAACTATTCTTTTGATATGAAGTTGTCTTAGTTGTCAGCAGTTGTAAGTTGCTGTCACTTGCCATGTGGTTTCTGATTAATTCTGAAAGCACTGTCAACCCAAGATGATTTCATTTTCTTTATTTTAAAGTGATATTCATTATTAGGATGTGAAAATTTAAACTGTTAGCTACCAGTTATGACTAATAAACTCTCAATATGTATATTTTTTGTATCTAGAGAAAAACAGAAATCTGAAGCTAAGGACAGAAAAGTTCTAGAAATCCTGCAAGTCAAGGATGCTAAAATACAAGAATTGGAACAGGTTGGTGTTATAATAAAAATATTAAAAATTATTATATTTTCCTTGGGTATTAGAGCTTTAAAATTAATTTCAATTAGTTTTACAGTAATGTTCATTAAGAATTATCAGGGCGCACGCCTGTAATCCTAGCTCTTGGGAGGCCGAGCCGGGCGGATTGCTCAAGGTCAGGAGTTCAAAACCAGCCTGAGCAAGAGCGAGACCCTGTCTCTACTATAAATAGAAAGAAATTAATTGGCCAACTGATATATATATATAAAAATTAGCCGGGCATGGTGGCTCATGCCTGTAGTCCCAGCTACTCGGGAGGCTGAGGCAGAAGGATCGCTCGAGCCCAGGAGTTTGAGGTTGCTGTGAGCCAGGCTGACGCCACGGCACTCACTCTAGCCTGGGCAACAGAGTGAGACTCTGTCTCAAAAAAAAAAAAAAAAAAAAAGAATTATCAGGGCGATTATGTTAAAGCATTATTATTTTGAAATCCTATAGTCAGATTATTATTCTTCATTATTATATTTTGCATGTAGCCTATTTTTTCTGAATTAATAGCCTATGATATTTATACATTAAAACTTTTTAGGTACTGTTATAGTTTTATAATATTATCTAGCTCGTATTCATTGTTTTGTTGAACTTTGCCTTTATTATTAGCAGTTATTCAATTTTGAAACTTGTAAATTTTTAGATGGTTTTATTTGTAGAAAAGATCAACAATAACTGAGGTGTTTCCATTTACTCTTTTAAAAACCTGTATTTTTGAATTAGTAAAATCATGTCTTTTACATATAAAAGGTAAATTATACAATTACGGATAATTGTGTATATAATTATATAAATATGTATGCGTAATATGTAAAATTGTGGCTGATTGTATAATCAATATATTACTGCAAAAATGCATATGGTTGGTACTTCTAGGAACCATTTTCAGGATATAAATATCTCAAAAATAGAAGTGGCTTGTATCATATAATATTTAAATTCATTTTATACACGATTGCTCATTATGGACTAAATTAACTATAATTTTTCTGGTTTAAATGGAGGTACCTTTTTGGCAACTGTACTCTTTTGACTTTTGAATCTGTTTTTCTTTCTAACCAATTAAAAGGTCATGAGAACTTTGATCTAATAGTTATTATTATAAAGTTGTTTTGTTAAAGGACTAAAAGTTCTATTCCCTATATCCACATAAATTCTTTCTAAAATGGAATGTAGATTACAATATGCCATATTAATTTGAAACTTATACCTTCTCCAAAGTTGTGTTTGTCTTATAGACAATGTCATAATTGGTACTATAATGATAAAATTTTAAGAATAACATTTTAGTTATCTTATTCCAGAAAGAAACAGTTGTATTTGCCATGTGAGTATCAAACAATATATCAAAATGCTTTGTAAAATAGGTAAATATCATCATGTGCCTGGTATATTAATTGAGCTAGGCCAAGCTGCCTAATACGTACAACCTTATGACCCAGGAGTAGCAAAAATCATTTGCATTCACATTTCATAGGAAAAAAACCTGGCTATTCCAAGATTCAAGGGATTTGAGGAAATTTAGATCCAGGCTGAGCAGTCTCTTTCTTAGTTAGCAACTCTGTTCTATGGAGAAGGAAAGTGGGATTTGGCACTCTTTTTAATATCCTTTGGCATTAAGTTTGTACTACTTTTAGTGAATGCTCTTCACTTACCAGTTCTGGTTAGCAATAATATACCATTAAAAAAAGATGTTGGGTTTTGTAAATGACAATGTCTTTTCCCCTTTTCTTTGCTAAATTCTGTTTCTATTCCTTGGATAGAGATTACTTTATTATTTATCTTTTTGAGCAGACTTACATAGCTTGTATATAAAATATTAAATTCCTATAAGAGAAATTATTTGTTTTTAGCCCCCCCACACAAGTTTTTTAGCTTAAATTATGTACATCTTTGTGCAATGATGTTTACAACTTTCTACGAGGTATACATTCAACAAAATATTGTATTAAATGTATATATTATCCCGTGATGGTGTTGTGGAAAAATTCAGAGTTACATATCTTGCCTTTAATGATTTTTGAATCCCTTTGAGGATTAAGATGACGATAAAAGGAAGGTGCAAATAACTATGTTGTCCTATACTAGTTTATAGGCTTTATGAGGGTGGGGCCTATTTCTCTCTCATTGACCCTTTCATACCCAGCACCTAATTACATTGTGTGGCTCATAACATGCTCATTGAATATTGTTGGATATATGATTGAAATAGAGTAAAAACAATGTATTAATGGTGCCATGAGAGAGTTACAAGCAAAATACTGCAAAGATTCAAAGAAAGGAGAGATTAAATTTAGTGAAAAGATCCTGCCATTTCAGATGGATTTCAATAGGAAAAGATTGTTGGAGGATTTGCCCAGAGTAAATAGTAGGAAAAATGCATGAAGATAGCAGTGTAGGGTATATTTGGGTAATGTTGAAATTTATAGTTTGTTTCATAGATAATATATAAGATTATAGACTGAAATAAGAATAATTTTATGTTGGATGATCTGTTAGGAGAATATTTCATAGTCTAAGTACTGACATGGACCTGAATTATTAGGTTTGCAGGAACTAAAGGTATGTAAATGGAACCATAAATACTTGACAGTGATTCGAAAATGACTCCTAGGTTTTCCATCTGGAGAAACCAGGAGAACAGTGGCATTATCAGGAAAAAGGTTAGTTTCAGAAATTACAACTTGTTTTGAGGGTAAGGTTTTGAGCTTCTTTAGATAGTTTGTATTTTAGTTATTAATAGGAATTCCATTTAGAGATATTTACCAAACTGTTGGAAGCATAGATCTGACCCTTAGGAAGGGTTTTGACCTTCAGATGTAGATATTTAATGTTAGAGATAAAGGGAAGACTTTAAATAGTGGGAAATTTGAAGAAAGGTATTTGCTGATATTGTTAATAGGTGAGAAGGACAAATTTTAGTAAAATAGATGAAAATACTGTTTAAGGAAGTAAGGAGAGAGAAGTACAGTGCAATATCTCATGAATGAGAAAGGAGAGTTTCAAGAAGCAAAAGGTTGTCATTATAAAATACTACAAAAATGTGATTTTTGAAAAGGACATTAAATTCAGCAGTCATGAAGTTTTAAAATGACTTTTAGAAAGTAATGCAAAGGGGCTAGCATATGAAATGTTAAGAGATCACTGAATTCTGACAAAATAATGAAAAGGAATGAAGTAAGGTGTCATTATCGGGAAGGTATGCGGAGAAGTTGACTGATGTATTTTGAGTTATTGGCTCATGTGATTGTGATCTAGCACATCCAAATTCTGCAGGTCAGGTCCACAGAATGGTGACCCCAGGAAAGAGCTGATATTGCGGTGCAAGTCCTAAGGCAATCTGGAGGTAGAATTCCTTCCTCCTCTGGGGATCATAGGTTTTTCTTAAGACCTTCAACTGATTGGGTGAGGCCAACTTTCATTATGGAGGGTAATCTGCTTTACTCAAAGTCTACTATTTTAAATGTTAATCACATCTAAAGAATACCTTCAGAATAACATCTAGGCTGGTAGTTGATAAAAAATTGAGTACCATTGGTACCATGGCCTAGCCAAGTTGACACATAAAATTAACCAAATGGTTAAAAAGAGCTGAGATAAATAGGCCTTTAGTGCAAGGTTTTATGTTTATGTAGCTAGGGGTTAGGCTGTATTTGCTGTTTGCTGTAAGATTGTATATTTTAGAGATGAAAGTTTCCTCTGGTGTCCTTGTTTTTTATTTGAGTTTTTCTGGAGACTTCTTAAGTATTCTTGAGGTGCACAATTCTTTCAGTTTTCTTAAACAGGTAAACCTTATACAAATTAAATTTATTGCAGTTTAATTGGGGAGAATAAAAAGATTCATGAATCAGGAAGCACTCGGGACCAAAAGCGATGCTTTGCTCCACAATGTGGGCAGGAAATATGTGTGGCCAGAAAATGAAAGTTACATACAGAATGCCCTGATTCGTTATAGTTCAGTGTTTGCCTTATTAGGACATGTTTTGGCAGTTTGCAACCTGTGATTAGCTGAAAGCTAGGCTGGCTGTAATTGGCCAAGACTTGGCTATTTGTTACAAAAATATACTCTCAAGTTAGGCTGCAGTTTGTTTACATAATAAGTTAGGTTACAATTTACTACATATTATTACATTTTATACATACATACATACATATAAAATTTCATATTACTACAATGTATTACATACATATAAATTAAATTTTTTAACAGTTCTCTTTTTTGGTCAGTCTTTCAGTTTTGAGAGAGTGACCAAAACTTTGGGCCCTGACATCAATTTCTGTCACCATCAAATGGACTTGTTTGGTCTCAGGGTGGCATTTACAATTCACAGTGCCAAATTAGTTGGATGATTCTTTGTTTTCTTCATTTTTTTGTAACTTCTAACTGTAGTGAGTCCATTCAGTGTACAAAGGATGGCTGTATATGAACATTTAAGACCCTTCAGGGAATATAACACATCAGGGAGACCATTATGATAGCTATCAGGAGTATAATGCCAAGAAACTGAAGTACACATTTTAATAGGAGTCACCATGAACTGAACTAATCAAAATCAAACAATTCAAAGTTTAGGCAATAAAGATAATTCAACAGTATTTGATTCCTATTGGTCATAGTTTTTAGGCCTGAGAATTAAATTTTTGTTTGTACAGATTTCCTTTAGCCTCTTCTTTCCATTTTCTGTGATAAGAATGTTAACTGGTATAGGAAGGACATCTTTAATGGGAATTTTAATCTCACATCTACTTAACTCAGTTATTTTTAACAATAATGCTTGGTTTGCTTATAAAGATGAGATGTTAAACAGCTATTCTTCATCTTAAGTTACTTCACTTGCTGACATATTTTATAATATAGAGATAATATAAACTTATTTTACCAGTAAACATAAGCAGGAGAAGTTGTACATCTGTATTATATTTAATTCTGAAAATTCTGAAAACATGCTTGTTTTGATCAAGCT